CCCCAAAACCCCAAAACCCCAAAACCCCATATGTAAGATCAAGTTTTCATTTTGTAAATAATAAAAATGTTGAATAGCAGATTAACATTGATAGGAGACGAGTTTTATACTAAAACAGAGGAGAGAAGAGATTTTCAGGATATAGTTCAAGCAAAAGATTTCATTGCTTTGTATTTTGGAGCACTCTATCATCCAGGGAGTGTTTCATTTACAGACTTTCTATCGATGTTTTACTATGAAATAAATTCAATGGAGAAATAAGTGGAAGTTATCTATGTTAATTCAGACCGAAATTACAAAGAATTCAGGAAACACATGGATAAAATGCCTTGGGTTGCACTTCCATACTAGGACTATAAAGTAAAGAAGTTAAAGTATGTGTTTAATGTGACTGAATTACCAAAGCTTGTATTTCTAAGAGTCAAGGATGGCTCTGTTGCTTCAGATGATGGAAAAGACTTAGTTTTAAGGTTAGGAAAAGAAGCTGTGCACTATTTGAAGTTCCATTAATACCACTCCAATACACTGACTAATGACAACCATGTGGTAGAGGAATAACTCAAGAAAGACTAAATGAGACAGGATGTGCTAGATCATTTCTATGATTATGAAGGCTACGAGTTTAATGCTCCACCAACTGACTTTGATAATAGGCCAGTAATAGGCTTAAAGTCAGACTTGGAGTTTCATTTGAGGCAGTGATATATGTATGAAAGATGTAAAGATAATAATGAAATTAAGAAACTTAAAACATAAAATTTAATCAAATTCGTATATCATCGCTATTATGCTTTAATTTCATAATATAGTATCATCATTTATACTTGCTTTTATTTCTAGATTAAAGAAATCATCCTTAGTCTTGTATCTCTTGTTCTTTTTCCCACCTTCAACTTTAGCTGGGAAATCTTGTAATAGAGGAACTGCTTAGGACTTTGAATTGTTTTCATTTTAGTTCTGATAGAGATGCTCATATGAATGTTTAGGTTCTCCAATAACTATTAAGAATGAGCCAAATACCAGTGATAAATGGCTTGCGATTTATGCAGCATCAAATTTGGATTTATCCAAGAGATACTCTTGGAGCAAATGGAAGAGAGGGACAAAAACCAAGAATAAGTAGATTCTTGAGAAATTTCTCTTATTCAATGCCTGACTTATCAAGTGCATCCCAACAGTAAAGAATATTGCTAAATTATAATAATATTAAGGATTGTATTAATTACCTCCAAAATTTATGAATATCATCTGAGTCGTGATTTCTTTCTATGATATTCCATTGATGTCATCTTTATAGTATAATTAATCTTATCCAACCATAATAAGTATGGAGACTACAGAACTTAGACCATGGAAGAATAGTATCACTGATGTGCTTGTGGTGAATTTGATTTGTCCTTTATCTTTTATCTCATATTGGATTTGAAGAATTGAAGTAACCAAAATTACAATCATAACAACTATAAAAGAATTTCTAAATAGTAAACTTACTCAAGCCTAAAAGCATGTATGTTTCGTAATTCTATTAAGCTATCTTATCGATATTAAGAGGGTTTGGTTCGGATAATGACATCAGCAGTAATATGAATGCTAATAAACTCACAAATAATCCAAATTTCTAGATTATTGCAACTCTTTTTCCAAAGAATAAATAGTGAAATAGTACAGTAAACATACTTAGCAGAGAAAGAATTGATGTGCTAATGCTTGTATTAAACCCAAGTCTCAAAATTTCATCTAGAGAATAAAAATAGGTAATAAATGCTATCTGAAGCAAGAGACTGCCAATCAAGCATAGAAAAATTTAAAGAGTCTTAAGAGTCTCATAGGGCACAGTGTAAAATTCACTTTATTAGAACACACCATATTTCCTATATGATATCAGATTCGTAGTCAGAATTTGAATCGAGGATATCGCAAAAACAATGCAACTGAATATCATCTTTTATGAATAATAGGGAATCACATATTTTTCATCAGTCTCCTCAGCATCAGCTATGAACAAACTCACTATCATATCATACTTTCTAAAACCAAGAACTATGAAAGCCAATGAGAGAAATATGAGAGATCCAATGGTGAATAAAAATGTCTTGCAGAGAGACCTTCTCTTGATTTCATTTTTCATTGATTGCCTCAATTCTGCCTGAGATGCCTATTTTGATAGAACTTCTCTATGATTTTGAATTGGGGATATCATTAGCCCATTTTCTGAGAAAGCAGGTACGTTCTATTGATAGCTATTAAGCATTGTACTTGCTCGATTTATATTACTGTATGGAGTCTAATCCTCGTTCTATTTATTTGAGAAACCCGATCCAGAGACATTTTACTCAATAAAAGGCTTTAAATTGTCAGAGATGCCCCCTATTCCCCTCAATGTGGTTCCTGACTTCTCAGCTCTTGATTTATTTTTTATCCTCGAAGTTCTGTTTACTTCGAAGTCCAAAACTGGTTTGTCAAATTGCTTAAGCTCAATTTCAGCTCTACGGGCAGTTTATTAGTCTGGATTAATAGGGCGGCCTGAATAATATCTCTTTCTATTAGCAGAGGATTTTTCGTTCATTTCAATAATAAAATAATAATTCAACAAGAGATTATTTTAAAACTATTCTAGTGATTAAATCTAAGATTGTTGATATTGATGGGGTTTTGGGGTTTTGGGGTTTTGGGG